CCAACAAAGGAAGCTGCACTGGAGATGTCAACATCCAATGCCAGAGACTGGGTTGAAATGGTGGGATGCCCGTGAGGCCCTGACATGAAACATACACCCAACGGTGCAGTGCATAATGAAAGTCTCACTGATTGAAGGAACCTGGTCGCAGCGAAGTTTCTTGCCGGCGGGTGCGGAGTTCGGTTGTTAGACCCAGTGCTATGTTCATGGCAGCCAGGTGGCCGAAAAGGAGCAGGCTAAAGAGGTACTCCTGCCACGCAGAAGAGGACTGCTGGGCCCAGAGTGACCGGTATACGTGCAATAGCCAAGCCGACAGAAATGTACGAGAAATCGAAACAACAACCAGGAACAACAGGGAGAGCAGAGTCGGTTACAGCGTATATGGCTCCCAAGCTCAAGTTTATAGCATGTCGGCAGTGCAGAAGGACAGCGCAATACACATGCAGGTTTGCAGCATTTTGCTCCCAGGAGGAAAAATCCGTGTGGGTTTTAGGTGTTGGTTTACCATGCTATTTCTTGCCACAGATAAGCAGAACTACAATAGAGCAAAAAAGCCTCATGCGACAGCCCAGCACAGATTCAGCTCCACATCGACCTTCGGACTGGAGATCGGTGACGGCCTCGAAATCCATAAAGCCTTGCCCTGTCAAAAAGTACAGTCGAATCCCATGTCAAAAGAACCACAGCAACGGGGACGGTTGCGGTTCAGGGCTGGATCCTGCTCTTGCTATATCTACCAGGGTTTAGGGGTTTAGGGTGAGCCACATACCTGAGATTTTTCTTGCATGCCTTCCAATCACCTTGAAGATGACCTTCATGCCTAGTAGACAGAACCCCATCTCACGGGGGATTACTCCCGATTGGCTTTCGGTGTGAACATGCAGGGTTTGTTAGCCAACCGTCGGGAGCCCAACATCCGAACGTCACCAAAACATTACAATTCGCGCAGAAATCTTCGCATGACTCACTGCCAGCAACATCATCGCGAGCACAACGGGAAGACCAGCAGCAACTATATCAATACTTGTGTGAGCAATACGCAGCCACCACGCTCCTCGAGTTCCATGCTGCATTCGCCTCAGGTAAACATTTCATGCGGCGCCTTAAACCCAGGGCTCTGAGGGCTCACGGTGAAGTGACTGCGGTGTGGCATCTACTCGAAGCCGTCCGTCAAGTCCCTGACTTGCAAAATGTAAACGAAGTACGTCAGCCCATGTTTGTTAAGGTACCCTAATCTAGAAAACTACCCACTTCCAGGGACAGGGAGCCGATCACAAACTCAAGACACCATTTCATCTCCGGCAAATCTGTGGCCAAGGGGAGCGGGTGCTCATCCTCCCTCCGTCCTTCTCTCTCCACCGACCTTCACACACACAGTGACACACGTATGCAGGATTGCACACGTATATGCGTACTCGTAACCATTCAGAAACGGAAACAGAAAAAAAACGCCGCTCCAAGGGCGCATGCTTCCTTAAAGCACGTATTTGTTGAGAGCTCTTCCTCCATGGCTTGGTACATTAAACGATGCTTTCTTGGGAGCTCTTTCCTCATGTCTTGGTGCAATCTTGAGGGTTATACATTGCATATATTTCACACTACTAGTACATATTATGCATCATATAATATGGACTGCACACTCTCGCCCGAAGGAGATATAAGCGGAGCTGCTGCAATGTCTGAGGCACCGGCTGGAGATGGTTGGTTCCACCTTAGCTGGGGTAAGGGTGTAGGGTCTCGTTGGGGCTTCAATAAGGGTTGGGGGGCATACTAGGACATCTTACAATACTATAATAACTTCAAATATATACTATATATGTATACATTTATTTCTTATAAGTATACATTCTCAGTATTTCCTGTTGCTATATTCAGCGAAAGTCGGACTTGGGGGATTTTGCGTGCTTGCCAGCTCTATCCTCGGCTTCGAGTCTCACAGCTTTGCGAAGTGCATGCGGGCTCGGAGATCCTGGGTTTAGGATTTAGGGTTTCGGGTTCAGGGTTCAGGGTTCAGGGTAAGGGTAAGTAGTCTAAAGGGTTTCAGCTTTAGGTGCTAGAGCTCAGGGCCACATCTTCTGAGAAGAATTGCATCGCTGAAGCTAGGCAAAGAGTATGTCCCCATGACTCAGTGATCTGTAAACAGGGCTCGGGTCCTGCAGGAAAGCACAATCGGCTAAACGGGTTTGTGGGGGGTTCACATCATGCAGTTTGCGCTTCATGATTCCAAACATAGCATGGCAGCACATCGTAGCGTTTTCACTAAACTTTACTAAGCACTATAGTCACCAGAGCTGCAAACTGCAGCAACTGTCTTTTTGTCAACAGTGTTAACTTTGGTTATAGTAGCTTCTATGGAACATGTCCTGACATAGAAGTCGAGTATGCTACTGGAAATATTGAACTGATTGGCATAGGGCTTTACAAACATACCGCAGCACGAGAAGACTGCCACACAGCCAAGGATGAGCCAGCTTCCCCATGAAGAATGCGCTGACCTCTGGGAAGCTAGATAGACACCGCATGAGGTTGGGTGTTACATAGCTTTATTTCCCGTCGACGTCCGTGTGCAAGGAATAGGGCACGCGCAGGAGCAACGCAGATGATATATGGGAACGAACGGAACATACAATGGATCAACAAAGCGATCTGTGTGAAATCTTCAGTTTCACTCTACACCCCAAGCTTAGGCCCTAAACCCTGCCCTAGGCCCTAAACCCTAAACTCTACACCCGAAGTGCTAGGCCGTAAACCCTAAGCAGCAGGCTTTTCTTCTGAAGTTCCGTTTCGCACAAGATCCGCCTGGGTGCAGCCACGGCCTCTCTTGGAGCCTCCGGCTCCCGAACGCCGCGATATTACAGGGGCCTTGCGAATTTAGAAGAAGGTCTCCTTTTTTTCAAGGCGGGCACTGTAAACAGCTCTGTAAGGGGTTCTCATGTTTTGGGTCTTGGTGACTGGAGTAGGGCTCTGGGCACAATATCGTACATTTATCATACGGAAACCCATGAGGAACAGTACTGGTAATCGTTCCGGCCCCTGTTTATGCGAAAAATGGACGAGTCCGGGCAACCCTAGGCCACGACGTCCTTATGCGTCGACGATTAAATCACAAAGATGCTAGAGAAATCAAAGAGGATGTCTTCTCTCTTCAGAAGCAATGCATCGAGGAGTCAGCAAGTCAGCAAGCAGTCGGCGAGATGCTTTGAACAGAAGAATTTCACGTTGGAGATCATCTGAACATCCGGCATGACTCCTCTGTCCGCCTGGCACGTTGGCCTTGGATGCGTGGTGCCTGATTTCTGGAGAAGCTTGCATGCTAGCCGCTCAAAACAGTTTGTCGCAGGAGCCTCAAGCCGGACAATGCTACACCAAGCTTTTAGTCTGCAGCCCTAAAACCTAAGTAATTAATAAGCCTGCTCCAACAATCGAGACATGACTGCGCCGATGGCGAAAAGTAGATGTTTGCTGTTCGATGGCTTTCGGTGTGTTGCTTGAAAGGGAAAGCATCGCTCATGCCTCTGAACTATTCAGCTTGTGTCAGGCGTCTGGAACGCTCAACGCCGGTTAGCTGCTGTCTTCTCATCCATGGCTCAAGAGCGCTCTATTCAGACTCTATTCTACTGGTTCCGGCCCCGTTAATGCACGCTATGCAAGCCTGTGTCTCGCTCACTCTCGCTCTCGCTCTCGCTCGCTCTCCATCTCTCTCTCTCTCTCTCTCTCTCTCTCTCTCTCGCTCTCTCTCTCTTTCGTTGGCCAGGGCTGTGGGCAGAGGTCTCTCTCTCCCTCTCTCTGTCTCTCTGTCTCTCTGTCTCTCTGTCTCTCTGTCTCTCTGTCTCTCTGTCTCGCTCTCTCTCTCTCTCTCTCTCTCTCTCTCTCTCTCTCGCTCTCTCTGTATACAACTATATGTGCGTGTGTCTAAAGCCAAAGAAAACTCAAGCCCTGTTCCAATTAGTAGTACCTCTCTGTTCTACATCCTTGCAACACATGGTGGAGCGGAGAGCTGCAAAAGCTCTCTCTGTGTACCAGGACTGTACAAGCCTGCGCAGGCTCCTATCAAGCCGCCTCACCTTGCCATTCGTCGTCTCGGCAGCCAGCAGGCTCAGCGAATGTGGTTCAGCATAACTACCTGAGATATGGTGAAATCTCGCACGACAGGTATCGGCGTTTCAGAAACATATGGTTCACTCTTTCCAACACTCACTACCAGTATTGTGGGCTGCCGATCGATTTATGTAACTGTCAATCTATCTGCGTATCTATCTGTCTATCTCTCTATGTATCTACCTACCTACCTATCTACCTATCTGTCTATCTACCTCTATCTATGTGTGTCTATCTATGACACTATGACCAGCAAAGCCCATCAACTATAATGACGCTCTTCAATCGAACATGTGTGTGTGTGTAGCCTGCACCACAAAGCGATCCTTCAGCCTCTTGAAAGTGCTATCATTACAAACCCCGATATCCGAAAGTCTTTCCTGCGGGGTCTCGCTTCCCCAGCTCTGGAAAAATAAGTGATATTATCATAAGAACTACGACGAGGATACTAGTAGTAATGATTCGTAACAACAATCTTCTTATATAAGAAGACTGCTCGATTTCTGAGTTTTGCCTGCCGTGAAAGCTGACAGCAACACCCAAGAGAAGAGTCTTTGCCTTCGTATGTTGAGATGGCCTCTGGAGGCGACACCTACCTCCGCAGATGGGTGCGGGTCAGATAGGTATGCTGTGCATAGAACACGCCGACTGCAGCACAACCTTCCACAAGGACCTCGGAACAGAGACCCGTCAACTGTTGAGAAATCACCCTACTGACCCGAGTTAAGCAGGATTCACGCCGAAGTCACGAGACAACCTTGCCGATTCCATCGACACCATACTTGAAAATCACCAACCCCCGGGGCCGGAACGGCATTTCAGGGTTCCCTCAAGGGATCCTTTAAGCTTTTAAGGGTTCCCTGAAGGGATCCTTTGAGGGTTCCTTTCACGATCCGGGTGGCGCAGGCCAGTGCGCGAAGTCCTGGAGCCGTCCACTGGCTCGAACTGACCATACCTTGTCCAAACTATTCTTCATACTGCTACTGTAGCTACTACTACTATACTACTACTACTACTACTACTACTACTACTACTACTTACTCATAATATAACGATTAAACTACTATATTACTATTGCTATTACGATTCCTACTTCGGTTTAGGCGCAGAAATTCCAGGGAGCAGCTTCAAGACGGCTTCGGATTTCCCTGAGAAGTCTTCGTGAGCCAAATAGTCTCCTGTCTTACTGCATCCAACCACCTGAAGGGAGCCACTGAGGTTTCTGATACCACCCGACCCTATGAAAGACAAGGATTCTGCCACCTGGGCGCTGGCGCCATTGCTTGCGGTGGTGGTCGTGTTGGTCACGTTCTCGTCCCCGACACTAGTGATCCCCACTCCATCGCACACAGTACCTTGGCCTTGGCAAGGCGCATTGCCGCATGGCTGTCTCTCGGAGAAAGTGAGGCTTTCCGGCTGTCTGTGATATCATGTCGCCCGATACAATCAATAACAGAGACAGCTAAACTGGGCTATGTTCATATCACCGTCGTAAACGGCACATATTCCGAATTATTGATGGAAGCAACTCGACATAACTCGACGTCACTACCACCACAAGCACCATGCAACCTTCTGTGAGAAGTTTGGGATGCTTCCGTTGAGACCTCCAGCTTGAGCGTGGGGCTTAGGGTTTAGGGTTTATCCTTTACAGGGTTTGACCTTGACTCCGTGTTTCCGGTGGAATCACCTCGTGTCTGAGGCAGCTGACTGCAGGCGGATGTGTTGGCTGTCCACACGCATGCACCTCGAGTTTGGCAAGCTTTAAGGGCTTGGGGTTTATAGTTGTGGGCGGACTTCAAAAGGTCTTCCCATGGCTGCTGCAATTATCTGCACATTGCCGCTCCTTACGGGCGGTTTCGAGCTCATGATGGCCAAGGCGCAACCACCGTCGTTCATCGACACGCAGTACGACTCATTGGTGCCGTCATAGTTCGCGCAAGTGGCTGCTTTCACCGCCACTGGGAGCAGCATGAGAACCTCGCAGTGCTCACTCGCTCTAAACTCTTAGGTCCTAGAAGTTAGGATCAGGGGGACCCTTATCGGAATATAGACCCTCTCAAGAAGGTCCTTTAAAACAGAGAGCCATAAGTAGGGCTAAGAAGGGCCACTTTAAGGGGCATGCCTCGGGCTACAGGGGGGTTTTTCAGAATTAGAATAGGGCTTTGGGGGCATATTAAAGCATAGATGTAGGTACTGACAATAAGGAACTCTAAGGAATGGCATTCTGTTCTGTTCCATGGTGGACTCCCGTGCCGGAAATCGGGCACATCCCAAAATTCTTGCTGACTGGGAAAGGAAGGGTATTGGTATTTATTCAGCCCTCTCATTGGCTGTCCCTTCATTGCAGTGCAGCGGAATAGCTTCCGTGCTCGCGCCACGCGATGCCGGAGAGACTCCAAAAACCCCGTTACCATAGGGGCCGGGGGTTTCCGTTTTACGCTCTAGACCCCAAAACCCTATTGTAAGTATTGAAGCCGCCATACGACTGCTGTTCAAACCCAAAATCCCGATTGCTGCAGGATCTTGCTCCGAAGTGGTCGGAGTGAGCTGTGACTGGCTCCGCACCAAACCTATAAAGCCACCTGTGAGGGGAACTCCACTCTCTTGTACCAACAGTAGCAAGCCTTAGCCTTCCGAAACGGTTACGCATGACATGACATTCTGAGAGGCGTCCCAAGCGAAAGGCCTGAGCCTAGCTTCGCGAATTGAAGAATTAGGCTCAGAAGTTCGGTGGGAAGCAAACAGGCAACGGACGAGGTGTGATTCGGAAGATGCGATACAAATCTTTCAGGACTCCGACACACGGACTGTTCAGGATTCCAGGAGGTGTCGGACGTGGGGTTGGGTCGGGATTTCAAAGAAGGAACAAGCCGAACATGTTAAAGCCCTCTTCTACTAAGATGTAAGATGTCCACAGCAGTCGAGGAACTACGGCTGAGATCAACCTTGCCATGATCCGCGACAGGTGCCTTCCGTGGCGACGATTGAAGCCAGGACAGCTGCAGAAGGATCGGGTTTCGGTACACTTCTCGGATCGGGTTTGGGGTTCAAAATTCCTCAGCACTCACAACTAGGACATGCAAGCCTCGAGGTAACTGATACTACAAAGCGCTTTGCCTGGAAAGCAGAGTCATCGCATTTCACCGACCACCATACTCCCACTAGATCGTTCCCACAAGGTGGTTGTACTGAATGCTTTTAGGGTTTAGGGTACATATGGGTCTATAGGGAGTTTATAGGGCTTTACGGCTTATATGGGCTTATATAGGGTGTAGGGGCATCACAACGTAGAGATCCTCCGACAACTTATGTTCAGCTTGTTGGACGCGCTTTTCTAGCAAGCACATAATATTCAAGCTGCTGTCATCATGCAGCACGTCCTTCTGTATCAAACTATGTTTTATCTGCCGTAGAACCTGAACAAACAGATACGCAAACAGTTATATACATATTATACAAATAGAACGAGAGAATTAATAAATCGGTCTTTTGAGTGAGGTGTGTGTGTGTGTGTGCGACGGGCAAATTCCATCACAATATCTCTCTCCGCCTGCTTCAAACTCGATCAACATAATCCCGGTACCTAAAGGACCTAAAGTTAAAGTTCGGATCATCATTCGTAGTTTATGCAAAACTGCAAGGATAGCTCATCATTAGAGCTTCATAGCTTGGCAACATTAGACTCGTGGCTTCCGGGTGCAACTCGCCACTCAATGTCAAAGACAAGTGTAGCAGCTCCGACATCCATTCCTCCACACTCTTGTTCGGACCTTAAACCCTGAAGCCTAAATTTCAGGGCTCCAGCAGGAGCTGAGATGGCGACTAGTGGGCAACTTCTGAAGAGGTTCAGCAAGTAGTCGTCGTCCCGATATCCCTGGGCGGAACAGGTCTCAGATTGCTGGCTCGCAGCTTGCGAGGAGAGGGCATCATCCCAAAGGGAAGGAGCCCTCATGAATCAATTAATCACGGGACCTACTCTGAGGAAAGCTCCCGAATTCAGATTTGTTCTGGCTGGGGCTTGAGGGTCAAGCTCAGATCCCGCCGTTCTTTAGAATCCAATTTTTTGGTCTTGTGGTGTTGTTCGCTTTGTGCATGAGGGGAAGGGGGGCGTGAATCTGCAAATCCGGAATGAAATGCCATTGCCAGTTTTGCTTTGATTTAGTTTGGGTTTTAGGGATTTTTTAGGGTGTCGGGTTCCAGCTTCCAGCCGCTGATTGGAAACCCCAGGTCGTTCAAACATTCAAATTTGCCCTAAAAACTGAAGCCCTAAACCCTAAAACCCGAAACCGTAAGGCCCTAAACCCTAAACCTTAAGGCCCTAAACCCTTGGAGGCTTTGGTCCCTACTGGTCCAAGCCAGGGTTCCAGCCCTCACAACTAGGCACAAGGATCATGATGGGGGCATGAGGCAAACTCCGTTTGTGCATTGAGCCCAACGACGGTAAAACTCCAGACACCAGCCCAAACCGGATGAGAAACACAGCAAAGTCCGACAATCGATGAACATCTACACCTCCATGCGCTTCGGCCACTAGCCAGCGCAACAATTGACGCGTGTCTCGACAGCAGCTTCACTGGTAAATCGACACCTCTCAGGTGCTGCTTTAAGTCATACGGTGGGGGGGAATGCACCGTGTCATTTCGTCCTCTGACGAGGACCAGACCTGTGTAGGCCGGCATAGGTCCAAGTGCTGCTCAGGTCTTGGCCTACCACCCACTGTGGCGGGCTGGCAACTCGTACGAGCCTGCCGACAAGGACCGCGACAGCGCATCGTTGCCAGCATCCTCGTTGCAGTTGAGGTCGTCAAGGTTTACAATGCTGAAGGCCATCTTCACGAACTCGATTCCTCCGATGGGCGCTGCCCTCGCCGCTGCATCGGCCCATTGGTGATTAAGCACTGGGGAAGCGGGAGGACGATACTTGAAGTTTGTGTTTGTGCTCCTGGCAGCTGTTTAAGGTTTAAGGCTCACAACCTTCAAGTCCTAACCCGTTTAGGGCCAGACTTGTCGACGAGCTTCGGGGCTGCTATCACGAAGTTCGAAGGATTGGACCTGTAAAGCTGGAGGCGCTTTGTTGTAAACCCCACCGTCAGGGTTTAGGGTTTTATAGCTCTCCGTTGTAATTCCCTTCTCGGCTGAACGTCTACCTTTGGTAACCCAAGTGGAACTACAACGGAGACTACAGGTGAACCCGTAAGCCCTAAATCCAAACGCTCTTTTCCCCAAACTCAGCTTGAACGCGCTGATTCTTGGGACTGAAGGGGCCAAGGATCAGGGGCCTGGTGTTCATTTAGGCCGCGCATACAGGTCGAGTGTGCGCATTAGCATAAACTCCTTCCATGAAGGAATTTCTCGCGAGTAGTTTAAAGTAGGGTCTTGGCCTTTCACCATAAACACGCAAGGACCGGGTGTTTTGGGGGCTGGGTTTAGGGCTTTACGGGTTTGGGACTAGGGAGGAGCGTAGAGATTCATAAGGTTGGGGTTTAGCGGTGTAGGGATTTAGGGTTAGGGGCTCGGGGTTTAGGGGCGCGTTTGTAGGGTGTCCCAGAAGCCCGGGTTCATCGGCATATCGGCTTAATATCAGGACTTCTCTAGGATTCAGGGTGCATCCGATTTCTTCGCCCATCCCCAACAAATATCAAACAGCAACAACAAGCAACGACATGTTTGAACCTTCCGAGACCATGCCCAACACCAAATTCCAAAGAAACCCCCCGAGAGCCCACAACGGTGAAAGCCCTTACGGGTTTAGGGTTAAGGGTTCAGGGCCTGGGGTCCGGGGTTTGTTTGAATCCCCAGTTGAATCTAAGGCCCCCAAAATAGCTCCAAGTCAGCCCGAAGCCCCACATGGAACCCCCGAAACCCTTGATGAACCACCGCCCTAGCACTCCTATAGACCCTTTTGCCCCAAACTCCAAATAATCAAAGACTAAACTTGAAGACCTGAGCTGACGCACGAAAGAAGCCTTAACACTGTCGAATAGGGTATAGGGCTATATTCTATATTTTTACTATGATAAGGACCCCTCCCCNNCCCCCCCCCAAAAAAAAAAGCCCCTATGTTAGATTCTGAAGCCACAAAGTGCGGAGGAGCTTCTTGAAGAATACCCCGTGCCTCGAAACCCTCCTGTCGGCCGGCTCTTTCGTCAGGGTTTTGGGTGTCAGGGCTTCGGATTGTCTGAGTTTGTCGGGTTTAATAGGTTTAGGATTTAAGTTTTGGGGTCGTCAGGGTGCTAGGCTTTGGGATTCAAAACTTTCGGAGTCCCTGCGGATTTGTGGAGGACGTAGTGATGCCTAAACCTAATCCTTGACAGACTTTAACCCCCCCCATAACAAACCATGTGCAAGAACCTACTGAACCTCTAAATCCGAAGCCCCGTTTTGAACCCAGAACCCCGAAAGGCCTAAACCGCAAGAGCCCGGAATTCCCCTCCGTCCAGTACTCTGGAAGCCTCAATAGACACCAAGATCCAGCCTGCTGGTCAAAGGGGGTCTGCGGGTATGCGGACCTTGGAAGATCTGCAGGAAGTTTTTCAAGGGGGCCTCCATGGCTAGAAGAGGGTTTGGGGAAATGAAACTTGCCAGTCTGTGGGAACTCTAACGGGACATGTTTTTTTTCATTCCCCCTAAACCCTGAACCTTGCTTGTTTTCAGTCCCTCGTACAAGGTTGCGGTGAGCCTTCGGAGCTTCAGGTGGAGGCTCGGCGTCAGGCGTTGTCTTCGCCATGGGACTAAGGGACTAACGTCGATGAGTTTAAGGCTTCAGGGTTCCTATTAGGGTTTAGGCTTCCTGCTGATCCACAAAGGCTCCATAACTGGGTGATTGGGTTCTGAAGGTATATTCGGCTCCTAATGTTCCATAATTAAGGGTTCTGTAATTGGGTGGTTTAAGTATGTACCCATGGCTTTAGAGTTGCGCAACTCCCCCCCACTCCAATGTCTATGGTCGGCAGAAGCGAGAGCCACAGCCCCAGCCCCGAAGCTTCACAAAACCGCGAAGCCGTAAACTCTGAAACCCGAAATAACTAAAGCCCCTAAACCCTAAACCCTAAATACCTATGGACCTTTCTGTTTGAAGGAGCCCTTGCAAAACTTCTAAGGGCACTTCTGGAACCACTCTGAAACCCTCCTTCATACTCCTGAAGAAACCGAAGGATTCGAAAAGAGCCGCTGGCTTTGGGAGCTTCCTTCGATGTGGGCTTCGAGACTTATCTGTTTAGTAAAGCTTGAGGGCTTGAGTTTGCTTTTGTCTTTTGGAATTCTAGGGGAACCCTGAACCCTAAACGGTTCTGTCTTCTAGGCTTCGGGTGTGTGGCGGTGGGCCTTTGGTCTTCTAGGCCTATGACCCTCTAAGCTGGCACAGAACCAGATCACAGGAGGGCTGCGCTACCAGGGGACAGATGAATTTACCGGCCTGGCTGATTAGAACAGGGTCTTGAGAGATGTGAAAATACATTTGGAAAAAGGACAAAAATAAATGGGGATACAGTTAGCAATTATTTTGCCCCCTATACTACCTCATAGTGTCAGAAGAATGGGCGAACCCTATATTTCACAGAGAGGTGGCTCCCAGAACGCGAAGCCTTGTGGTTAAGCTTTATAGACCGTAGCTACGACCTTGCTTCCTTCAACTTCGAAGCAGTACTACTATGGATAACCCTCCACTGAGTTGGGAGGAAATGAGGAAGCTGGATTCTCAAACCTGGCATGCCTAGCCTTGTACAGATATCGATGCTTCAGACGCGGAAAAGAAGATGACAGTACGGGATATAACCTTGATGTTGCTGACGATGATGATGATTTGGTTTCTTGTGAAGGCGATGATGGCGAAGACGAAGAATGCCAAGAAGGTTAGTAATTACAATGGTGGAGGCGCCATTGTTGCGATGATTGGTGCGGCCATTACCAGGCCATCGCGGTGCAAGAAGCGTTGAAACTGCATCCGATTTCGGGG